ATAAAAATAGAATATGCTTGTGCTGAAAGAGTATAAAGAAAACACACACACACACACACAATTAGAACCACCCAGAAGTAACCAATCTTAACATTTTGAGTCCCTTCCTTTAGGTGTTTTTTATGAAAATCTCTAGTGTGAACTGACAGCCTGTTGTTCTCGGTTGACAGACAGATCAAGGCCTCCCAGCTCTCTGTTCTGCCACTGGAGAAAGCCCCTTTCCATACTAGCTACACTGTCCTGTGCAGACGGAGCCTGGCGTGCGCCAGGGGTGGCTCCAGTGGTGCTCACCATGCCCAGCAAAGGCCTCATGCCCGTCACAGGAACTCCGCTCACCTCCTCACGCTCAAGCACCGAGGAGCACCGCTTGATGCCACCTACGGGTCTCGGTTCCAGGAACACAAAGGAGAGTCTTTGCGCTTGTAGGTCTTTTTCAGATGACCCACTGATACTCCATACTGTCATATGCATTTGGAGAGCATCTTTATTGAGTATGTCTGTACCCTCAGGGATGCGGCTTTGTAGTTGAAGAGCATCTTTATTGAGTATGTCTGTACCCTCAGGGATACAGTTTAGTAGTTGAAGACCATCTTTATTGAGTATGTCTGTACCCTCAGGGATGCGACTTTGTAGTTGAAGACCATCTTTATTGAGTATGTCTGTATCCTCAGGGATGCGACTTTGTAGTTGAAGACAATCTTTATTGAGTATGTCTGTACCCTCAGGGATGCGATTTTGTAGCTTATTTACATACAAGATGATTTGAGCAGTGTCTACAGACATTTGGGTGTTGTTTTTTAAAAGTAGGGGTTATAACACAAAAGAAGTGCAGAGAAAACTCTAAAGAGAACCTGAAAACTTTCATGGGGAGCATGTCTGGAATCCTGCATTTGGAAATGGAAACAGGAGGGGGACCCCATCTAAAACAAAATCAAGCAAGTCAAATGCTAAGTCCAACTAACTCTCATTTCATTCCAAGCCACAACCACTGAGTTCCACAGAGGCTGGCCAGACCAGGAAGGAGCCAACCAGAACATGCCGGATGTCCATGTTGTTTGAAGATTGAAGCAAGGCTTGGTTAGGTGCCCCTTGACCCTGGATATGAGGTTCCTCTCCAGAGGAGAGACACGAGATGAAGGCAAACTGGTGATGTGGCCTCACAACCCATTCAACTCCTTGGCCAAGCAGTGCCTTCCGGGGACACCAAAGAGGACGGCTATGTGGAGCCACCCCCCAGAATGCACTTGTTCTACATATACAACTCGTCCCTCCATGCCTTTCATTTACACTTTTTTTCTTTTGTGCGTGTATTCACACCACAGAATACAGTGTGCATGTGGAGGTCGGAGAAGAGTTTGTGGGAATCAGTTCCCTCCTTCCAACACGTGGGTTCTTGGGATCAGACTCAGGCTGCCAGGCTTGGCAGCGAGTGCCCATACCTGCCGAGTCATTGCGCAGGCCCCTTGCTTTGTTTTTATCTACACAATCAATCTTTAGTGGTACCATCTGCTCTGCTGAGTGACTCGCCTGTTTATGTTCATGTTGTGTACTGCAATGAAGGTCTAGAAGACGGGGGTTCTTTCTTTCTTTTCCTTTTCTTTCTTTCTTTCTTTTTTTTTTTTTTTTTGCCTGCTTTATTCTTTTCTCTTGTTATGCCCAAATCCGCGAAGTCCCCACACTTAGCTTATCATGGCTGGCCCCCACAGCTCTGTCTTCAATATTTGAAGTAGGTCTTGGCATATGACAGATATTCAATATCTGTTAAGTAAATTCACTAAAAATTAACACATTCCAAACAAATTGTGGTGGCTAACATGACGGTCTCGGACATTCATGTGGCCACACCTCGGCTGGATGTAAAGCCACCAGCTCCAACACTGTGTGTGACAGGACAATGCAGTCACTGTGAAACACAGGGTACAAAGCAAGGCCATGCTCAAAACTAGCCTAGTGGTGAAGGCAGCCACAGCACAGGAGGGCTGCCCCTGTGAGCGCGGGGATTACAGATTACAGATGTGTGGCTTCTAGAGTGGAAACAAACAAGCCAGGAGTGATTACACCTAAACTGCAGTTCCAGGAGGCTGGGAGGGGGTCAAGAGTTCAAGGTCATCTCAGGCTACAGGGACCCAGTCTCAAAACAGCTAAAGCAATCTTTTGATCCTCAGGTACAAGCTGAGCAGCAACTGTAGGCACTCCACTGTTAGTGTCCCGACCAGGGCAATCACGTGGAGTCGGTACACACAGACACTGTGGGGGCCTTGGAAAGACTCTGGGTTCAGAGGGCAGAAAAGGAGGAACTGAGTACATCCCTCGTGCTGATAGAGATTTATGACTTTGCAACCCCGAGAAAATGATTCAGAAACTAGGCAGGATGATGTCTTATTGGGCAGGTCCTTCTAATTAACTCCCTAATTTTTTTTTCTTCTGCAACAGTAATTTGAAGTAGAGAAATCCAACAATGATGGCCCAGCAGTATTGCCTGGTCATTACAGACCCCTGTTTGAATGTGACAAGGGGAACACTTCTTCCAACCCCAAACCAGATCTCAGTCTCCTCGCAAGAAAACATCAGATAAACAGAGGCTGGGATTCTTCAGAAATGTCAAAGCTGGGAGATGCAAAGCCAGACAGAGGAGGATGGGCAGGCAGAAGATGACGTCCAAAGTGGCACCCCATCCTTTGCAGCTTTTGATCCAACAGCCCCGGTGGAGGAGAGGATATGAGGAACAACGGGTGCATCCACGGCCCCTCAAGAGCCACCATGCTCTTCCACAGCAGCCCCAGCCTGTCACACTGTGGGGAGGAGGCCCTCCCGGTGTGGCAGCTCCTCTAAGAGGCATGGTTCCTTGGTTCCTGTGAAGCTGGGCTCGCAATCTCCGCTGCAGTTCCATGTCTGACCAAACCCTGACTCCTGACTGCTGCTTCCAGCACCATCTTCCTCAAGCTGGGTCTATGCACCCTACCATTTGTTCTCAAGTTTGAACCAATTGCTACTTTCAGCTCTTAGGTGAGGGCCAGTATTTGTATAGCCTATCAATTCTTCACTTTATGTTGTGATGGCTACAAGACCAGGAAGCCTTCCTGCCACTATATCAGCTCCTTCCTAAGTAGCCATAGGATTGATGCCAGGATCCCTATGGGTACCCAAATCCACAGATGTTCAAGTCCCCTATATAAAATGGCCCCACATTGGCAGAGAACCCACACACATCCTTCTGCATACTATAAGGCAAACATAATCCCCAGATGATTAATAACAGCTAATACCATGTAACTGCTGTGGAAATGGCTGCCATGCTCCGTAGCCATGACAACGTAAGGGGAAACGTTTATATATGTTTGATTTTCAGAACTTTCTAGAATTCTCTTCCAAATATTTTTGATCCCCATTTAGCTGAATTTCTTAGATTCTGAACCTTCAGGTATTTCCAAATGTGCCTGACATTTGGCCGGGAAGACATGACAATGAAAGTTGTAAAATATAACTTAGACATACAATAAAAACCAGTGTTTTCAAATGGCACCACCTTCTGTCCCCCTACAGCCAGGCAGATGACAAGTGGGAGCTACTTGTGCCCCATGCTGGGCTAGGTCTCCCTCAGGGAAGTGTTCTGGACCCAAGGCTGGGGACTGCATGGCCTTTAGGACTCGGGAAGGGAGGACAGGCAGCTCTAAGAACACAGCTGTAATTCTGCGCCAGCACTGGGGAGTGCCCTGAAGGGAGGGTGGAGAGGTCTTAGCTGCAGGAAGGTGCACCAGCCCTGCTGCTGGGTGAAGCAATGAGAGCAGGAAGGGTGAGGGACTGAGTCACCATAGCTGAAGGGTTCTCTGAAAGAAAGAGGAGGCCTTTCAGGGTTCAACACTTCCTTTCCATCTGGTCCCACCAACTTCCCAGTGAAGATCTCAAACACAGGACATCTCCTCTCCTGCCTCTCACTTTCTGACCTTGCACAAGGCATGTCTAGCACTTTTCCCAGCAGGGACAGGCAGCTCCTACATGTAGGCATTCCCCCTAATCCTATGCCCCACGGCCTCATTCCCTCACAGCAGGCTTGTGTCCAGTCTGGTCCTGCCTGCTATCAGAGTGAACTTGCAAGACCCTGACCCGATCCAGGGCTGGGGAGAGAGAGAGGTCTAACTATTAGCATGGCCTGGCAGCTCAACCTTATCAGGCTGATTGGGGCCTCTGTGGAGCTCTCTCCTGACCATGGGGAACTGAGCCATTCTAAACACAGCCTGTTGGGACCTCATGCTCTTTTGCTGGCAGGCACTAGCTGACTCCTGTGATCCGCTCAGGCTCACAGCCCACCTCCTCGAAGCTTCCTTTGCAGGCCCTCTCAGTGGTACCATGGTTCCTCCATGTGCATGAGGTCTTGGAGTACGCAGCCTGCTGCACGGTCACTTTGATTCACGGTAACCGCAGCTCTTCAGCCATTCGGTGTGGGCTGAGAACATGGGGGTGTGCTGATTAAGACTCACAAGCTGGCGAAAATGATCTAAGCCACTGCTTTCCACACAGCAGCCTCCACCCTGAGGAAATGCGGCTCCCTACCTCATGACCCTGAAACACTCACCACCCAAAATGGCAAGGCCAGTGCCTTGCCAGACCTGTTGGGGAGTCCTGTAATGGTATCCAGCAATCAGTCACATGGAGAGATGCATGCATTGGTGTTCTTAGAGTGTTTTGGAAGCTTGTGCCAGCAACAGACTTCATGTTGAAGGAGGTTCTAGAAACCACTGTTAGAGCTGGTGTCTTTTCGGCTGAACTTTACAGTCTCATTGCTGCAGACATCGCTGGGCAGCCCACAATGCTCCTTAAGCACATCTGACCAGAGGACCACAGGGCACTAGCTTGGGAAAGTACTGGCCCAAACTGGAGGACCATTTGCACATTTATGTATGTATTTGTTTGTTTGGTGTGCGTGTGTGCGTGTGTGTGTGTGTGTGTGTGTGTGTGTGTGTGTGTAGAAATTGACTGTCGTCAAGGAGGCAAGACTTTTATTCAGAATATTATTTATTCAAGCTGAAGGTGATTGCTTCATAATGCAGGGTCACAGGACACTCAGAGGAGGATTAGAAAACGATTACAAAAATTCTTTTGAAGTAGATTAAGATGACAGAAAACTGTAATCATCGCCTGCAAATGCACGTGTAATCACACTGAAAAGAGGTAAAGATCTTCGGCCTGCTTGCCCAGGTGGCAGGAAATCCACACCCCAGAGCCAGGCAACGCAGGGTCAGGCGGGAGTGACCAGAAGACACTTGGTGTCTACAGCTGCTCACAGTGAGACACAGGGGAGCAGACCTGGTCTTCAGGCCAACGACGTCGTGGGCTTCTCAGTGCCACACAGGGATCGGATCAAGAGCGTCTCATCTCGCTGAACAGAGCTTCCCAGGGAGGAGTGACGGAGACATTACAAGAAACCTACTGGGGCTGCGCCTTCTGTTTCAGTTTGGCAAGACTCTTGAGACAATCGTCCCTCCACTGCCTCCTGGCAGCTAAGTGTTCAGGATCATCAGGAACCTTCATGCACATGTCCTGGGAGAAGGAAGGAGGAAGAAAAACAGAGAACACATGCAGAGGAAATAGTCTGCCAGAAGTGTAATTATCTCTCCTATTTATGCCAGCTGTATGGACACCACTTCCAGACACAGAAGCACAAACCTCACAGTTAGTTAACGCAAGCTCCAGACCTCCAGAGATCCCCAAGACAAGTCAAAATGAGCTGCCTACCTGGGGACTACAACACAACTATGGGCAGTCAGGAAGAACCAAGGGTCCAGACTGTGGCTACTGACAAAGCCCCGCCCACAGACGGCACGGGAGGGGGTGCAGTATGCGCCAGCTTGCCTTCCCAGCTTCCCTTGGGAAGTCCACATACCTGGTTAACTTTCTCTGCTGTGGCCCCTGAGAATTCTGGAACAGGCCCAAAAGTCTTGAGGACCCGCTTCATTCCATCACTGTATCTGTCACAGTAGCTGACAATACCTGAAAACAGGAACCCACACGCCAGCATCAACATTCTGCCGCCCCAAACTGAGACCTGTGCAGAAGGTTCTGCCCCAGAGAAGAGGCAGGAGATGAGCAACCTTCTAGCCTGGGCAAGCAGGATCCTCATTGAGTCTATCCTAGCTTTCAAGAAACTCCTGAAGAGCACTGGGCCCCTCAGGCCTGCCATGGGTCCCACACCAATGCATCTCAGGGATCCTCGGTCAGTGCCAGTCAGAGGTCCTTGGGCAGTACTCTTGGGGGTCCTTAGTCAGTGGATCTTGGGGGTCCTCAGTAAGTACATCTCAGGGGTCCTCCATCTCAGGGGTCCTCAGTCAGTGCAACTCAGGGGTCCTCCATCTCAGGGGTCCTCCTCGGTCAGTGCAACTCAGGGGTCCTCCATCTCGGGGGTCCTTGGTCAGTGGCGCTCACACTCTGACATGCAGAAAGCGCCTTTTCAACCATGGACTGCTAAGGGTGTGTCCTGGGCTGCAGTGCATTTTTCTCCCTCCTTTTCCCTTTTTCTTTTGCCTCCCACCCCTTTCCTTCCTTTCTGATCCAAGAGCTCATGCAGCCCAGGCTACATAGATGACTTGGAATGTATGGTCCCGTGTCCACATTCAAGTTCTGGGACTACAGGCACGCGCCACCACTCCCGCTTCCTGTGGAGCCGGGGATCGAGCCAAAGGTTCTATGAATGCTAAATAAGGACATCTTCAGGCTGCTCTCCTTCCCCCACCTTCCTTTTTAGAGATGGAGTTTCATTCTGTGGCCCACGGCCCACAATAGCCTTAAACTCATGGTAATCCTCTTGCCTCAGCCTCCCAAGTGCTGGCACACTACAGGCGTGAACCATCATGAATGGCTTCAATTCATTCTTCATGAACCCCAGATGTCAAAACTCAAGTCACTCCTTCCTTATCACACACTTAAGCCTCAAGGTCAGGTTATACCTTATCAGGTATTTATAGGTGGGGAGACCCACACCGGGGTTGTTTTCATCCCTTGCCACACTTCCATAAGGAGGGCTGGAGCAAGGCCTGCCTGAAACCCTGCGCACAGGCCATCCCAGCCCAGCCAGGCTGATGGGTTTCTCCACTGCAGGGTTTTGGTGGAGAGGTGAGTGAGGAGAGGGGGCACACAGTCAGCACGAGCTGCTGCAGGGCTGGGTTGGCTGATTAGCCATGGAACCCAGGTGAGCTCCGAAGGAAAGCACAAGCCTGGTCTAGCCTGGGCCTTTCTTAAGTGTAGCCACCTGCCCCAGGACATTCAGTTCCCACTTCTTCCCTACAGGCTAAATCTTGGGGCTGCAAGAGTAGACACAGGTTAGAGACAAGATAAGCCAGAAGCCAGGCCTGGGACCCCAGAGACCAACGTGTTTAGAAGTCTTGGCTGTGCTGATTCTGGCCCATACTTTTCCCCTTTGTGGTGCTGGACGTGAGTTCTACCACTGAGCTAGCCTTGGGCCCGTGTTCAGCCTTCCAGAGCCACAAAGCCTCAGCAGTGGGTCACTGGAATAGAATCTAGACACAACTACAATGTATTCATTTGGAGTTGAGGGGAGCAAGAGATACCAAAATGAATATATTTGAAAGATGTTAAATGATCACAAAATAAATATATTTGAATAATAAAATAAATAATAATATTAAAAATAAGTGTATTTGAAAAATATTAAGTGATCACAAGTTAGTTTGCTTCCATTGTTATGACAAAACTTCTAAGATGTGTGTGTCAATAAGATGTGTGTGTATCTAAGATTCGTGTGTCAATAAGGCGGTGAGAGGGGTGTCGGGACTGTGCTCATCACTCATGCGCACTGCTGTCGGGACGGCTGGGGCCAGACCTGCCTTAGCCACACCGTGCATGAACCTCACATCTGCCATGTCCCGGCTCCGCCAGGCTGATTGATTTCTCCATTGCTTTGGCCTTGTGGCAAGCAGAACCTCATGGTGGGGAACACATGATGGAGAGAGCTGCTCACCTCGTGATGACCAGGATACAGACGGGAAGAGCCCAGCCTCCCAATAGCCCATCCAAGGGCACCCCAGTGGTCCAACTTGTTTCTAAATGGACCCTGCCTCTTTTAAATAAATTTATTACATTTGTGTGTGTGTGTGTGTGTGTGTGTGTGTGAGAGAGAGAGAGAGAGAGAGAGAGAGAGAGAGAGAGAGAGAGAGAATGTAGGTATTGTGGGAACTGGTTCTCTCCTACTATGAATGTTCTGGGAGTTGAATTCAGGTTCTCAGGCTTGGTGGCAATCCCCTTGGCCTGTCTACCCCACAACCCCCCACCTCTTAATAACTCCATGAACTCCTTTCTAAATAACACCATGAGCCAGTCAGCAAGCATTCCACACAGAGTCTTTGGGCGACATTTAAGACCCAAACCATCACAGAAGAAAGTGAGAAATTGATTGTGACTGCATATTTAATCAGCCTATAGTGAAAATGGAGGCCAATCCCTTCTCAGGAGCCAGCCCCATCTCCACAGCCAATGTAAGCAGCAGCCTGAAGGGATCTGATACACAGACCATGTTTTATCTCTGGGTTACTTTACATTCCTTCAACAAATGCTCATCTTCCACCATCCTGAAATCATTCCAATCTTACAGAGACGTTCTAGAACTTTCTCTTGCCTTATAAAACTGAAAATTTAAAGGGCCTCTCTCTCTCTCTCTCTCTCTCTCTCTCTCTCTCTCTCTCTCGCTGATTTATTTATACTTTCATTTAAAGGATATGAGTGTTTTGCCTGCATGTATGTGTATGTATGCACTATATGCAAGCTTGGTGCATGCGGAGTTTGGAAGAGGGAATTAGGAATGGCTCTTCCACAGCCCTTGGAAAGCTTAACTCTGCAAAAGCTAAATCTAATTTTTTAAAAGAAGATTTATTCCTATTTCATGTATATGGGTGTTTTGGCTGCACATGTGTCTATGCCATGGTTGTGAGCCTCCACGTGGGTGCATGTGTGTCTGTGCTGTGGTTGTGAGCCTCCATGTGGTTGCGTGTGTGTCTGTGTCATGGTTGTGAACATCCATGTGGGTGCACGTGTGTCTGTGCCGTGGTTGTGAGCTTCCATGTGGGTGCACGTGTGTCTGTGCCGTGGTTGTGAGCTTCCATGTGGTGCTAGCAGTACAACTCAGATCTCTGGAACAGCAGCCAGGGCTCTTGACTGATACTCTCAACTCTCTAATTTCTCAAGAGGTGTTTGTATGGACAACGAAAGCACAGAAAGGAGTTGATTCCCAAAAGATCAGAGTTAGCTTATCTTGCTGACGCAGTTTGCTATGTGTGAGCCCTTCGGGATAAAACAGGGGTTTACCTGAACCCTAGCACCTCCACCAACAGGAAGCCCCCCTGTCTATTGAATGTTTGGGCCAAGGCACAGTCCACCACGCCATACCTGGCTGGTCACCCATACCTGGCTGACACCCCCCAACACTAGGTGTTCAGCTTTCTGGAGAACCATCACTATAACCTAGACCAAGGTGTCTAGTTTTGACCCAGCTCATGAACCCACACCTACATGGATTCACCTGACTATGAGAGTCTTCCGTACTTTATGAAAATAGGTCAGAAGGGCCCCAAAACAGAGTGACAATGTTGAGTGTCCTCTAAGGACAGAACTGTCAGGGAAGCAGGACCCACTCCAACACCAGCCCTTGTCTTTCAGCTCAGTTGCCCCCCCCCCACACACACACACCAAGGATGGCTCAACACAGATAACACCCCCAACGGGCTTCTTGCTCAAAACTCGGGTTTAATAATAAACAACCAGTTCACCTGGAGGGGAATCTGGGGTTCCACATTCTGAGATACTGTCCCTCCACAAAGACACCAAAGAGCTGCCAGAGACGGCAGGATCCGAAATCTCAGCAGAGAAGCCAGGCCTGCTGTCAGGGCTTCCCCTGCCGCGCAATCAAAAAATGACCTTGTCTATGCTTACTCTGTACTTTTCCCTCAGGCCTGGGTGAATCTTTGGGGGAGAATTAAGAAAAGTAAAAATGAACAAAAACCCTGGAAGAGAAATAAATTAAACATAACAAGCTGGATAAAGATAACATTTAAATGGTGGATATATAGCTCAACCTAGCATGTCACCAGGCTCTGGGTTCCAAGCCCCAGCACCACCAAAAACAAAGAAACAAAAGGTCATTTATTAAGCAAACAAGTATTTGGTTTTTTGTTGTAATTGTTTTGTTTTGTTTGCAAGAGTGGTTTGTTGTTGCTGTTATTGTTGTTTTAGGGTGGGTTTTTATAAATAAACCTAAAGTGTCTGCACTTACTTTAGAAAAATGGTAGCTTTTAAGGCCAAAAACTCCTGTAAGTTCAAGACTTATGAAAACCACGTCAGCAGAACAGGAAACTCCTCCCCTTCCCAGTCTTGACATACTCCGGGTGACACCCGAGAATGAGGGCCATTGGTTCCCAGCCAGATCTCATAACTTCCTAGCTCTGGGCTTCGGAACGCTCAGAAGTTGAGAACTGCATCCGACCCCTATTATCATATGAAGCCAATTAAGCTTTCTTATCGTACCGGTTTTGTTTGAAAAATTGTCGTGGCCTCCTTCCTGTCTGCCACCCCACTGAGCCTCGAGTGTCTGGTGTCACTGCTTCTGTTTCTGTTTGTTTCAGATTCAAAGCTGTTCTCAGCTCCCTCCTATCAATTTCTCATAATACCTTACCTATCTTAGTTCTCTCAAGAAAAGAGAAGTGCGGCGGTTATCAGACAGCGCCCATGCCCATTTCAACGCCTGGCTGTGCTCCCCGCTCATAAGGGCTGGCTGGAAAGGCTTCTGGAATGATCCAAGACCATCCCGACAGTACTTCAGAACTCTATTTCACATGTGCGAAGGCGTCGCCTTGGTGCTTTCTTCTCATGTTCAATGGTTATCCTCCCACACAAAGCACGGGAGAGGCCCCCTTCCTCCTTTAAGGAAGCCTCTGGTCTTGCACTGGTATTACAGGGCCTGTGTAGTGGGTCTACTCAGCAAATTGTACATTCGCCTGCTGTACGCAGGGCCGGGTCTGGGAAAGCTGCCTTGGGGAGTACAGTTCATTAACTAAAACATCATGGGCTCACAGGACAACAGTCAGATCTGAGAGGCCAACAGCTCCAACCCATCACACGACAGGCATCTCCTCTGGACGTCTACCATGCCACCTTAATTCACCCAGGGCGTGAGCCTTCCCTTCCAGGTCACTAGCACCGGTTACTAGAAAGTTTTTTCTGTCACATCAGTCACACACTGAACATAAACCTGTCTGCCTGCCAGTTCCAGTCTTTTGTTCTGGCTCCACCCACTCAAAAAACAGGCAGGGTGTGGTGATGCACTCTTATAAACACTAAGAAAGCTGAGGCAGGAGGATTATTTGACGTTTGAGATCAGCTTGGGTGACATAGGAAGCATCAGGAGAGCTGGAATTAGAGTGGAACCCTGTCTCTAAACAAAACAAAACGATGCAAACACATTTATACCCTCTCTGAACCGCCCCTGACGGAGGAAATTTCTTTTGTAGCATGAATTCTAATAGGTATTAATAACAAAAACCCGGAGTCAGATATTAGGGGGGTGAAAGCTGAAGGATCAGACAAGCAGTACAGACAGCCACGAGAGAGATCTTTACCTCTACCAATGCTCAGACCAAAGGGTGATCCTGTCCCCAGACTGCTCCTCAGACTGCACTACTGAGCTCCTGTCTCCTCCTGCCGTATATTCCTCTCTGCACCCAGCCATATCACTCCTGTCTCCACCTCCCTGGTGGTGAGATCAAAGGTGTGGGATCCCAAGTGCTGGGATCACCTTTGTGTGAGTTCTGTTTCTCTTTTAGACAGATTCAATCTTGTATCATCCGGGGTGGACTTGAACTCACAGAGATCCGCCTGCCTCCGTCTCCCAAGTGCTGGGATTAAAGGCGTGCGGGCCTCTAGTGGTTTAGTTCTGCACTCTGATCCTCAGGCAAGCTTTATTTGTTAAAGCGCAAATAAAACATCACTACACTTTTTTTTCTCAATATCTCTTGTGACATATAGTCTTGATCTACAGATTCCTTTTATCTTTCTAAGTCTCTTTTACCACTTAAGAGGACTCTGTTAAAGTGTCATACGGTTATTGGATATGTTTACAACAACAGGGCAGTAAAAAAGTAATAAAAGTCACATGTAGCTCAGTGAATGAGTGCTTGCCTAGCATGTAGAAGGCTCTAGGTTTGATCCCCAGCAACACACACACACAAAAGAAAAGCAAAAACCATAAACAACATTTCCTATTGTGCCAGATATGGCTTGTGCCTATGATCCCAGCATGCAACAGGAGAATCGTGCATCTATGGCTTAGCCAGATCTATGTAGTGAGACTTCACCCAGGACCAAAAAAAAAAAAAAAAAAAAGAAAGAATAAAAAAGGTTACAATTTACTATTATTTTAATACCAAGAGATAGCTAACGTGTAGGTAGCATCTTTTTAGATTTTGGTGTATCACTACATTGGTGTGTTTTAAGTTGGTATCAGTAGATCATCTTTGAATCATTTAACTGGAACTACCAAGTCACACTGATTCCCTTCCAGAGTTATCTGACCTGCCCCACCTTGCCAGGCCCACCCCATGAAGCACCTGGCTTGTGACTCCTGGCCTTCAGGAAGGCCATCCCGGCACTCTGCAGAAGTGTATGCCCACAGGCACTCGTGCATGGGCAGAGGACAACTGCATCACTGGGCACCACTCGGCACTGCCTCTCATCTTTGTTCTCCGTCTTGCCTCTGCAATTCATTTCAACACCCCAGAGAAGCCGCAGCCTCTCTTCCATCAAGCAACAAGATGCAGGGCAAGGCTCCCAGCACAGCACTTCCTTTTCTTCCTTTCTGATTCCATCAAGGACTCCCTGTGGTCCAGACCCCACGTAGACTCACATGTCAGTCCACGGTGCTCTGTGCCTCAGCCCTGAGTTCCTAGGGTTGCTCAGAGTCCTTCTAGAATCTGCCATTACCACGTTGTTTAAAAAGAGACAGCACAGGCGGCAGATAAGAAAGCTCACAGAAAGCCGGGCGATGGTGGCGCACGCCTTTAATCCCAGCACTCGGGAGGCAGAGGCAGGCGGATCTCTGTGAGTTCGAGACCAGCCTGGTCTACAGAGCTAGTTCCAGGACAGGCTCCAAAGCCACAGAGAAACCCTGTCTCGAAAACCAAAAAAAAAAAAAAAAAAGCTCACAGAAACATTGCACACCACAGAGTCCCATCTCTGTCCCACGTACCTTCAGCGTTGAGGTGCATAGTCTCCAAGGGTCCAATGAATGCGTACCGCATGCCCAGCCCATCCGACATGACCAGGTCCAGGTCATTAGGAGACACTATTCCTTCCTACATGGGGAGAAGGCAGTGACACACAGTTGAGTTCTTTAGAAAGGCAATTTTGTTAACATTGCTTGTCCTAACTTTTTGAGGGCAGTATTTCCCGCCACCCCCAAAAAACCCACTTGCCAATGCACTTTAATATTTTAATGGAATTTTGTACAGCCAAGCTCTCCTGTATGTGGGCCCTGAAAAAGGAGTTTTATGGCACAGGTGCTGAGACCTTCAATCAGTCTGAACCCCTTCTCCTTCTCACGGGCCCCACGTATCTCCTGCAGCATTGGAGACAGTGAAGATAAAGTAGGCCCAAGTTAAGGTGTGTGTGTGGGGGGGGGTCTGGATAGTTGATCAGGAGGTGGAAGTTCATTTAAACACCCCAAAGAATGGGAAGTGGCTCGCAGGCTTCACCTGCCTGCAAGTCGGGCCTTGTTCAGCTTTTAATGAGTTTGTGGGAAAGGCCATTCTTTGATGAAACATGGTTTAGGATAGGTTTGTTTGCTGAGGTGGGGCCCTAGAAGTTTCTGCAGATGTGAATTGCCAAGCAAGAGAAAAGTTGTGCTTAGGAAGCCAGCCAATTGGTGCACATGGCTTCAGGTATGGGGCTGAATTCACCATAGTGGTGGTGTATTCTAGTGACTCACTGCAGGTCCACTCCCTGCTGAGGACCTCTGTATCCCGAGCATCTCAACTCTCTGGAGGGTGGATATGAGGAAAGAGAAACATGTCCCCCAAACTCCTGCTGGCCAGACTGGCAGCACCCCTGCGGAGCCTGCTGCTCAGGGATTCCTTGCTGAGCAGTTTCTTTCAGAGAGAGCCATCAATACTTGATATCTGTAAGGCCACTAACCATGCCACCTCTCCCATAAGCAGCCCTGGGAGGCCCCGGTCAGCCCGCAGCTGGAGGACAGAGATCTTATCCAGATGCATCCATACACAGTCACCTTGCTCCCAGTGACAGGCTCAGGCAAGCAGTCTACCAGACATGTCACCTCAGTCTGGGTTTGGATCTTTCCCTGAAAGGAAAAGATCTGTCTAACATCTTTCCTAAAAGAATAAGCCTTGCCAACCTGAAGGAGGGGTGAGAGATGTCATCACGGTCCTCAGGGTTCTGCCAGGAGGACCCCTTTGTCCTCCAGAAGCCCCTGGGATTTGGGCATCAGGGGCTGAAGAGTCCCTTGCTGGCCTGGTCAGCGGGCACTTTCCACTTCCCAGACTCCAAGGGTAACAAGACTCAGAGCAGCTGGGGAAGGGGATTTGCAGTAGTAACTCCTCACCACTGCTGCTGGACCCCAACAAATGAAAGAGACATAGGGAGTCTTGGGTCTGTGTGCGCTTGGATGACCCCAGGTCAGTAGAGGGAGAAGACAGAGTTGCAGAATCAAGATGAAGATGGAGCCTACCATCCTAGAGTGACAAGCATAATTCGGGTCTGACTACGCAACTCAACTTCAGAGAACCACTTTCCATCGAGCATGTGAGACATGAATACAGAAAGATGTACGTGCTCAAGATGCCACACAGTGCGGAGAACCATGATAAGGCAAGGCCTGGCAGCAGCTCACTATCTTCTCAAAGACAGACACCCGCTTTCTCTAATGCCAAGTCCTGGCTTCTGAGACAGGCCCTCTGTCTGTGCCCCTCAGCAACAGAGTTTGCCTTTTGCACACTTTGCGTCGGCAGATGCATACATAGAATGCGTTCTCATGTGACTTGATTCTGTTTCTCAATATCACACAGGGATGGGGTGAGGCTTGCCTTTCTACTTGTGCACAGCCCTGGGATTTATCCACTGCGCCACAAAAATAATAATGTATGTATTCTATATGTGCCTGTAGTTTGTCCGTTCTTGTTTATTCTAGGGTGCGACTCCTATACACATGGCGACAGAGAATATTCTGGAACACAGCCCCAGCCTATGTCTGAGAACAACTGTTGGGACCATGTTCCACCTTCTGCTTTATTAGGCAATGTGTTCTGCTCCCCAGAGCATTGCCTCATGTTCATGGCCTCAGGCACCAGCACTGTGGGCAGGGGTTTTCATCACTCACTGCCTTCCAAAGACAGGGTGCCATGATGTATGCAAACCCTGCTGACCTGGTAGGGCACTGCAGAGTCACCCTGGGTCTCTTGCTACTACTAACCTCCCCACTGTGTGTTTATTTAATAGAAGAACAAAGTCATTTATTCGGCTCACCCAAATGCTGACAAGGGTCGCTTCCTTTCGTTCTCAAAAACAAAGGGATAGGAAGGGAGGGCGCCGAGAAGCAAGAATCCACAGAAAGCCCATGGTGATGTCCAGAACCATCTAGAAGATCGTCTGATGTGGGAATGTCCTTTCCAGCTGCTTCTTCCTACCTGGCCAGTTCTTGCTCGCCTGAACTGGGGTTTGGGTTCCTATACTCTTCGGACTATGGAATGTAGCGAGAGGCAGTGTGTGGTCTGAAGACCCTCCTTCAACCTAGAATTTCAGTTCAGCATTCCAAAATGCCTGAAGTATTCACATTAGACAGATACAAACACTGAAACCACCATATGCTCACAATGCTATCCGGCTCTTTCTTCTACAACTGGATTTAGTACTTTTAGAGTTGACTTTAAAAGAATTTTAAACACTCAATGAGCTACCCAGATTAGCTAACCTTTTTTTTTTCCCCTCTTTTTGCTTTTTGTTGGAAATGGAAGGAACCCGGGCCTCACAGGGGACAGGCAAGTGCCCTACCAATCCCCAACAGTTTGCCTTTCTTTCTGGTGTTGTCTGGAGGAAAACAATCTAACAATTATTCTCCTCATTCCTTCCCCCCATAGCACAGACAGAAAAGGGAAGAATGTTTTATTATCTTCACTTCTGCAATTCTTTCTGCCCTGTGTGGACTATTCAACGGGATTCCTCCAGCCTGTGTTTCTACCAAGCAGCTAATCTAGAGGAAGAAGACGTGCATGGGTCCTCGGTTTTGCTCCTGAACGCATTTCCACCCCAACTGTATAAAACTTGCCTGATGGTCTGTATAACACATGTCCTCGTGGCTGGGGGGGGGGGGATAGGAACAAGCGCGGACAGGTGACTCCTGGAACCCAGATGGAGCCCAGCACACTGGATGGAACATGGAACCCAATGCCAACCCAGCTTAATGCTTATCAGAATAGCTATCGGCACTTCCTCCATTTTGTGGCAAAATTCTTAAGACACTCGCACAAAGGACAGTCCCAGGAGGCTAGACGAGTCCTAAAAACTCACACGGAGCAGCAAACACTGCCATCACTGTTTGGTCAAAGCCTGGCTTTTGTACCGCATTCCGAGAAACCTCGGGGTGAGGAGGGCCCAGACACAGAGGTAAGGAATCCCCTTTCAGTGGAAAACTCCTGGTCTGGCCTTTCTTTAAGATCTGGGGCTTACCACAATTTCCACTGATGTATGGGGACCAGGAGGGGCCAGACAGTCAACAGAGAAGCAAGAAAACGCGAGGCAGATGAAGTGTTTGGTCACTCTGCCACACATCTTAAGCATAATTAAAGGTTTAGAGGTGTACCCGACAGAATTCTATTAGTGGGGACACACAGAAGCTCTCTCATGCTCTCTCCCTTCCTCTTTTCTTCCCTCTCTCTTTCTCTCTTCTCCCTCAGTGTCTACAGAAAACTTGTTACAGAATATCACACCTCCCCTTACCAAAATTCACAGATACTGAAGTCCCACAAAAAGAATGGAACAGAATTGTCCTAAAGCCTATGTACTTCTTCCCATAGACTTTAAATCACCACTTGGTGACTTACAACACCTAACACAGCATAAACACTATGTAATAATTTGGTCCAACGTGATCACTCAGTGGGTAAAGGTGCTTGCGGTCAAGCCTGATAACCTGAGTTCAATCCTTGGGTCTCATGCAGTAGAAGAGAACCAATTCCTGCAAGATGTTGTCTGACCTCCGTATCTGTGCATGAATGCGCTCACCCACACACACTCAATAAATAAATAAATAAATAAATAAATAAATAAATAAAGTAATTTAAAACTTGTAGTAATATCTTGCTTAGAGAACAAAGAATGAAACTCTGTACATGTTCAGTTTTTAAAAATATCTTCAAGCTGTAGTTCTTTGAATCTGCAGATGGAGAACCCACAGATACAGAGAGCTCACTGCATACACACATGTACAGAGATTTAGTGCCAAGGAGTTGGCTCATGTGACTATGGACTGGGGCTGTCATGGTGCACAACATTTGATGACTAAATTCCGTGACCGTCACCACTTTAGGTCACCAGCTGCACGCGTTTATCTCCCTTCTACTTGATCATCCACGCTTCTCTTTTCTTATATATGGTTGCTTGCCCTCATTTTCCCTTTGCTTTTCTCATTTTAATCTTGGCCACCTCCCCTTGTCTACTTTTTAAAAATAAATTCCCAGTTCTGTTCTTCCATTTTTGTTTTGCTGATTCCCCCACACATGGTCCTGAGTTCTCAAGCATCTCTGAGCAAACACTCCTTCAGGGACCCAGCCTAGCTCCCAGGCATGCAGATAGGGTTCTCTCTGGGTTCCTCCCCTGCCCAACCATCAACCAAAACTGTCAGGGTGTAAGCCCAGTGTCTTAACTGAGAAACAACAGAAAAGCGAAGGTTAAAGAGTAGAAAGTGGTTGTATCATGAGTGAGTTCCAGACTGTGATGCACACGATAAGACTTAGGACTCTGCCATCTTCAGGCACCTAAGAGGGACAGGAAGGAAAATGGATTTGCTTTGATATATCCAGCCACTGGGAGGTTACAGATCAAGAGGTCGCTTCAGTCCCTATGTATATGGAACAACCCTGAGCTTCAGCAGTTTCTCTGGCTCCCATGGTGTTCTCAGGTAGGTTGGCTAAGACACCAACAGGTACAGACTTAACTCCAGCAGGAGCCAAGCTTAGGGCTGTCCCTCTTGGAGACACTCATTCCTGGAGCCCTTAGAGAAGGTCCAGAAACAGAGAGTTTCATTTGGATCTGGAGGTTGAAATTGAGAACTGATTGGGCACCG